CTGTATGCTATTAAACAAAGAATGAACATTCACTGTCAATACAAAATTAGGGCTATCAAATGAAACTAGCAGCTGACAAGCTCGGAACAAACAGGAGGGGTTGGTTCTTCCCATAACCTGTGGCTGTGCTGTGAAACTCCTTGCTGGAGGATGTTGTAGCCCTTAAAGATATACTTGAGGCTCAGGCAACAGCTGAAAAAAATTAATGGAAGCAAAAAAGGCAGGGCTATTAAATGCAAAGAGAACACCCTGCACTTAGGCAGTGCCTGAGCTGTAAAATGTCAAGTGTGTGTTTGGAGAAAGTATTATGTGTATTGCTGCTTCTGACAAGGCAGTGGCTGATCAGTGTCTATGCAAGAGCATAAAGAATAGGTAAAAGGCCAATGTAATCTTTACTCAGTAAAGCTGTTCTTACAGGATTTTTCAAAAAGCTGTGGGTGGTGCCATGTGGTCATGTCTGTGTTCTGTCCTGCAGAGCAGCTGGTCTGAGCTGAGGCAGGGTGGGCTGACTAATTGGATAGTCTCTGCAAGGCTGAAGGAGGAGATGCAGGTGGGATCCAGCCCTTTCTCCTTTACCAACACAGAGGGTTGATCTGCAGGGTTTATCTTAGACTTTGCTGGTGGATCATCCTCTATTGTGTAGTAGCTTGCCTGGTAAATATTTCCAAGCATGCTGTGGGCACCGTATCTGTGAAATGATTTGCCAGCATGCAAAATGATTCCAAGGGCGTGGTGAAAATGGAAGTCTGTCCATGAACTGCAAGTTAGCATTTGAGTTTAAACAAAACTTGTCTCTGCTGGACTGATTTTAATAATCCAGCCAAATTTGTGGATGCAGGAACCACTAATTCTTCTGTGGAAAGAATGGCTCAGGTATGCTGGCAGGTGACAAGGCATGCGAAGACTGCTCAGGGAAGGTTTTTTTTCTTTGCCCCCACCTCTTCAGTTGGCTTTGATCTGTTTTATGAGGGTCAGAAGATGAAAACCTCATTACCTAACGCTGTTGGATGTCGACGTATGTGTGATATGGCTCTTTGCCAGTATCTTAATTAGGGAATTCATAAAAGCGGAGGGTGGATGCCAGTTCTGAAAAGCACTTTTAGCCTTTCTGCTGGAAAGAAAGCTTTTATTAATTCATTACAAAATGTATTAAAAGGGATCCAGCTCAACTCTGTAAGCAAAGCTGCTTCTTTTTTTCTTCTCTCTTTGTCTCTGCCTTTATGTGAGCCATTTTGGGCTCCCTGCCCAAGATGGTCCCAACAAATGAGATTTGTAATAAGCGTGTAAGTCAGTTTGGATTGAAATCCCCTCCAGGTCTCCCTGGTTTAAAAAGGTCTCCAGATTGCGAGCTAGTGTTGCCAGAATTCAACAAAAATGGCTCAGTGCCTTGTCATACCTTGTGGAGCAAGGGAGGCATCTGGTCTTAGATCCCTGTGTGTGTCCAAAGTGCTAGGACTTGACTTTTTGGAGTGGCTCTTGAGGAGCAGAAGGGCAGCTCTGTGTGTCCTGAGCTGCTGTCTGGATGTGAAGCACCTGTTTCACTTTCCCCTTTTAACTGACACTACTTAAAGATGTTGCTGCGAGTGAATTCCTGTGTCCCTGCTACAGGCCACGTGAACCTGAGTTGTCATGTGAGCTTTCTGCATGTTGCACTTCAGCTCTGTCCCAGACAATCCTCTTCAGAGAAGGGAGAGCCAGAAGGAGCAAGGGTCCGTCTTTGCAACTTATAAGCCACTGTGCTGAGGTTGCCACTAAAAAGATAAGCCAGTGTGAAGTGCAGTGATGGTTCAGCTAAGCGAGCTTGGGTCTTTCTTTTCGTGTGGGCTTCCGGTAGGCCTAGGTACATACCTCAGCTAAGCTTCTCATGTATTAGTAAGTAGGAAGGAAAGCTTTCCATCCACAGCAAGCTCAGGTTTACACCTGCTTCTAGGATTGCTCTCCTGGAGAGCTGCTGCAGGGGATTAGAGCCAGAGCTCTATAGGTTTTTTTTGTGTTACAGTTTTACAGGCTACGGCCCCCCGGGAGTTTCCTCAGCGGCCCAGAGAATAATCAGTAATTCCCAGGCATTACTCTGATTTCTCCCTGTGCTTATTTTCTGTTTCTCTCTTCCCTTTGCCCTACAGTGAAAAGTTACTTGGATGGCTGAGCTGCTGAGAGACTCCTACCTTGCAGGAACAAATCCCAAATCCTAAGTGAGGCAATGGCACTGACATATCAAGATAGCGCTCTGCCCATAGTTTGGGTCGGTGTCCGAGGCTCCTTGTGTAAATGAGCCACCTCCAGGAGGCAGATAGTATTGTCCTAATTTATAAGTAGGGAAACTGAAGCACAGTGACTGGATAACATCTAGGAATCCTCACTCTTGACCTTCCTTATAACCCCTAATGCCCGAGACTAGCCTGAAGAAAAGAAATAGTGAGATTCTGGAGGAAAAATATTTTGTTCATTCAGCAATCTGTTTTTCCTTCCTTGCTTTTTTTTGATTATTTTCTGTCCCTTGTGCCCCCAGCTCAGCAAAGCTGATGGTGCAGTTCTAGGGCATGTGGTTTATTAGCAAATTATTGTTCTCCAGCAGGGGACCCAAACTTTGGTTTTGATTTAAGAGCAGTAAAACCAGTTGAAACTTTTGAAGTATTATGTGGAATCTGGAGATTTTTAGTCAGCAGAAAGTAAAAGCATTGGCAGAGTTGGGCAGAATATCCTCTCATTATGTCTCATGAAATGACGGAAGTATGGGTAGAGAACGTACTAGTGAGAGCAACTGCAAACTGAGCAGGAGGAGCAGTTCTGGAGGAGAGGGTAGGAAGTGCAATGACATGAAAAATTTAGTGGTGGGGTTGGCAGCTGACTAACCAAAGCTCTCATTAAATTGTATTATTTAACATGATTTTTACACGTTTTCAGAGAAGGCATGGTACACTGTAATAAGTTTACTGGCTAAGGAGGAGCCGGGTAACACATGCTGAAGTACGTCTTGCTGTGTGTGTATGTGAGGGTTTCCAACAGATAAGGGAGCAGAGACACAGTTATTTGCAAATGGTAGGAACTGGTGAAGGACTTGGTCATTCTTAAGTTGGACTGGACGGATACCCCACCTCCATTCTACTGTGCTCTGCCATTAAATTAGCTTGCTGATGAGTGTGGTCAGAGCTGACTTGGGTGAAGCCCTTGGTTGGCCCTGAAGCAGACTGGGGCAATGCATCTCACTGACTGAGTTGTAGTGGATGACAAGATAGTGATGAGCAGCTGGAGTTAACATTCTTAACTGGCACAGCTGGATATGGAGGAGGACAATTATCTTTGTCCTGACTGAATGCATTTTCAGCTAACATGCTTCAAAAATATCCATGTCCCCGTCCAGGCAAACCCAAGCATTGCCAAACACAGAAGCGCCATTCCCTGTGCTCTGGCATCAGGTGATGTGCCTTGGTGCTCCCCTCGGGCTCCGCGGAAGCTGTGCAGGTGCCTCTGGGGAGCTTGGCATCTCAACAGCCCTGGCAGAGTTGCCTAATGACAAGAGACTTTGAAATTGCTATCTGGCGAGATGCAAAGATTTATTTGAGCCTTGTTGTATGTGGCCCCCTCCCTAGCTCTACTGTGCTCCTTGCAATGAGACTATTCAGCTGGCTGGCTAAGCTCCTTTTTCCAGTCTGCTTTGTTCTCCCCTTTACGTCAAGCCTCTTCTCCCATCCTGCTTATTTATAACGCTTGCCTGCCTTTCCTGAGCAGAAGGTGTGAGATTGCTAATGAGCTCAGGACTGAACTGATCCCCAAAGCAGCAATAATTAGGGATCACTACCTTTGATTTTGTTTCCCATATCACTGTTTATAGGAGTGTTTGTGCTCTGGGCCACCTCAGCTGCCTGGACATCAGCCTCAGATGTCTCGTTCCACCTCAGTACTTTACCTGGGACCGCGCTGCCTCTTAGCTTCTGGTTTGTGAAGGCTCCCACCACGGAGAGGCCATGCTGCCAGCCATCTAGCTGGCCTTGGCCTTGCTTGGAGAACGAGACACAGCAGGAGTGTTGCGCTAAGCAGCTAAAAAGAGAGGTCATTGCCACCTCAGCGCACTGAGGCCATTTTCTTTCAGGCTAGAATGTTGTGTTCGTATTATCTGATTAATCCCACTGTTTCCCTGCTGGAAGCAAGCCTGAAAGATGAAGTTTTCCTAAAGATGTCTACGCTCTGGTTGCCAGGCAGAAAAGAGGAATGATTCCCAGGAGAGCTGTTGTCTGTGGTAGGACTCCCTCCTGGGCAATCTATCTGCACACAAGTAGATCAACCCTCTTGTACTTACCCACAGTTACTCCCCTCCACAGGAAGACATGGGAGGAGGGTGGCTGTTAGGAAACCTGATGAGGAGACACAAGGAGAGATGACCAGTGTTGTTCTGCATGGGATCACGTTGCTGCCAAAACTTGGTGCAGGTCGAAGGTGTGGAGGCAGTGGTGAATGCTCTCTTGAGCATACTGTGCAGACTGCTGCTGCTGTTGTAGATTTAGTTGGGTAAAATTGATGGTAGGTATCAGTGTTTCCCCTTTGTCCCCTCTTCACCCAACCAGACAGCTGAGGGTGCTTTGTGGTCATGTCCCATGAACTTCTGCATCCATTCACAGCACTAAATCAAGACCTTGTCCCTCAGGCTTTGGCCAAGGCCAGTCTCTCATTTTATCCTCTTTTAATTGCATAAAGATGCCTTAGATCACATCTTCGCTTGTGGAGCCAAATGCAAGGAAACTAGAACAGGCTGGAACAGGATCAGATAGTACCAAAAAGGTGCTGGCCAGCCACACAAGTGGGCGTGTTAGAGCTGGCTTGGCTGCCTCTGGGATAACAATGTCACAGTTGCCTGGGGTATATAATACAGGCTGATCTGGGAGGTGATGGGCTCTCTGTGCTGTGATCTCTACACAGAGCTGGGGCTGTTCCTCCTTGATTTGGGGAGGAAGGAGGTGGAGTGGCTGAGCTGCCACCCTTCCCATCTGAGTGGGGATGGATCCATGTTAGCTGGGAGAGGAAATGACAGTGACTGGTGTGGTGTTTTTCAGATTGATGGACTGGAGGAGAAGCTGGCACGCTGCAGACAGAGCATGGAGGAGATGGATCTTAAACTGTGCAGGGAGAAGCTCAGCCCTGAAGGAAGGTATTGTTGACCACCTCCTTTCACAGCTGTGGCTGTGCACTTCAGCTAGCTGTCATCCTGCTGTAGTACTGGGCAAGGGCTCTTGAAGGGATGGGAATGTGTGGTTTCCCATGACAAGACACTCTTCTCCCAGCTTGGAGCTTACTTGGGGAACTTGCCAGGATGAGAAGTTCAGCACTATATGGAGAGAACTTTAGCTTACAGACAAACAGCCTCACTCTCCAACTTGCACCACAACCAGCCAAGCAGTGCCCAAAACTTGCCGATTCATTTGCAGAGCTGGCTCCTGGCCTGCTAGGAAACAGCTCTGTGAGTCTGGCAAAGGTTCACTGCACGCTGCTACTCAAGCCTTGCAGCAACTACTGCTGAGGGCCAAACCAGGCTGGGATGCAGCTGCAAAAGGGGCTGAGGGAAATTACTCTATCTGTGCCTGTGTTGCAAATGTGTCGGGATGTAGGGATGCAGTGACACACTGGCTTTCCTTGTGAAAGGGAAGAGGGACAGTTCCCCTGAAATCTGTCACTGACATGGAAGAGACAACTGTAGGCTTCTAGAGCTGGGACTCAAGCAAGGACTTTGACCTGGATTTTGTAGCAGACACAGGCAGAACCTGCTATTTCTCTAGAGTATGAAGCAAGAGATCCTAGATCTCCCAGCTGATCCTCAAATCTTTTCTGCTTGAGGACATTCTTCCAGTCACCAGCATCGTACTGCTCTGCTCCTAGCAAAAAAGGCTGGGAAGCTCAATCGTAGGCCCCGGGGAGCGGTCCTGGTGTCTGCTCTACAGTACTGTCCTACAGAACCCAGTTAGAAATGATCCTAGCAGCAGTGACATCTCCACACCCTGATACTTATCAGCCTCAGCTTAACTTCTTTGTTCTTCGTTTCCATGTTCTCTCCCCCCCCTGCCCCCCCCCCCTTTTCTGGCATTTTATATCGCTATCCATCTTTGGGCAGGGTCCTGTCTCATCCTGTCCCTCACCTCTCTAGCTCCTCATCTGAACAGTCCTTTTCTAGGCCTAAATTCCTCTTAAGTTTACTGTCTGTATTCTTTATCTGGTACTTAGGTGGCCAACAACCAAACCTACAGTTGTGGTAATTTGACAGGATGGAATATATCTGTATGATTTCTTCCTGAAATATAGGACCTAGAGCAAAGAATTAGGAATAGGGATTCCTGGGGCCTTTTCTGAATTTTACAACTTATATAGAGATGGAAACAGAAATTCTGTTGCCCTAATCCAGACCATTCAAAAAACCCTGCAGGAAGGTACCATGATCAAAATTATTGATTCAGTGAGTAGTACACAAAGGAGAGCTCTGCTTTCCCATTTTGAAGTTCAGTTGTCATGGTTTCTTCATGTCTCATTCTCAAAGCCTCTCCCCTTGACTCTCTTCACAAGGTGAGTTTCTAAGTAGCAGCTCAGTCATGTTGGTAAATCTGTCTTCTCATTTCCTCCTGGCTGCACTCCACATTGCCTTTCCCCAGTTGCCTTTAAGAGCCCTTTCCTGCTGCTCTGACATAGGTTGCTTTCTTGCCATCCCTTACTTAACTAGCTGTACACATACATTTGGATCTCTTTCCTCCTACAGGTTCTTGCTCTGCCCCAAGGGGAACAACAAACTCTGTTACACTTACTGCCTTCTTTGTCTGCTCTGAACCAGGAGATAACTTGTTAGTGCATGTTTATTTATAGGCACACAGTCCAAAGGAGTGACCGCATCCTCACTGCTGTAATGGAAACACTGCTGCTTTCAGGCAATTTGTTTTGTGTGTATATTTTAAACTGTATATTAATTAATCATCTTGTGCAGTTTAAGACAAGGGCTGGGTTGGCCTGACTTACTCTTCATTGTTATTATCCTGAGTCTTCAGTCTAATAACAGGTTGTTTAACTGGTTGTTACTGAGCTTGGGTTCAGCTTGTTTCCTTGAGTTGACCAATTTGTGTAAATTGGATACCTCTGACAATGGGATCCTAGCTTCAATTGGTGAGAAGAATTAGTGTTCCAGCACTAAGCCAGATGTGCTGGAGGGACAGGATCCTGCCCCATGCCGTAGCTGTGGCAGAACTTCCTACCCCACCTGGGGGAACAGAGTAGGGGGCTCTGACACACAGACCCCTTTTTAGCCTGCTTGCATACACTGACACTGTCCTAAAAGGAGAGATATGAAGCAGTTTGGGGGAAGGAAAAAATAATCTAAAACTGCTGCATCTCTTCTCTTGCACAGCTGGGGGGTTTCTAAACTGTCACCTCTCCACAGTGAAGGGTAAGGGGCTCATTCTGTGAGCAGATATCCCTGGCAGTGGGACAGTCTCTCTTCCATCATATAAGCAAAGAAATAGGCTGTGTTGTGCCTCACAGGTAATGAACTCCTCTTCTCATTACAGAAAGTCACTGGAGAGAGAGAGAAACTTACTAATGACCAAAGCTGACAACTATGGTAAGAGCCTCGTTAAAAATGGTCCCTCTGGGCTGGATGGCATCAGTGCTGCAGCTTAGCTTCGTCTTCAAGCTCCTGCCACCTCTGACTTCCGCCTTTGAATTTAGGTTCAACCAAAGGGAGCTGGAGTGAGAGAAACCTAGTCAGCATATTATAATAGGAGTCTGGATCCTCCCACTTGAGCTGTGCTATCATAGGGGAAAAAAATAGCATCAGCTAATGAGGGGGGAAAGATGTCCCTTTCACATACCCCAAATTACCAGTCTTTAGATAATCTCAGCCAACAGATTTACTTGAGTGGCTTTTAACATCCTCCTCCTCCTTTTTTTTTTTTCCCTTTTCTTTTTTAAGAGGCTTGCTAAGCAAGCTGCCAAGTGCTATCTGGAGTGCAGCAAAGTATGCCTTCCTTGGGGAGGGTTTCTGCATCAGTTTCTGAGGCCATTCAGCACATGAGCATGGGGATTCACGCTGATGTGCTACCTGCAATTCCAGAGAGCCAGGGTCTTTCCTTGCTGCAAGTCCTGCTGTAGACTGTTAAAATGGGAGTCCCTCTGAGCTACCGCACATTTAACAGCACTTCCATTCCGCCAGGGATGCTGCTTTGCATGTCTTCAGGCTCCTGGTGTTGATCAGTGTGTTAACTGCTTGACAGCACTCTGCAGCAGTGCAAGCACCAGAGCTCACACAAGGGAAAGAAGCACAAGTGTTCTTTTAGGCCTGGAGAGTTGAAATCTGGGGTACGGCCAGCAAATTTGTAATTTTAACTCATGTTAAAGGACTGTTTCCAGAAGCCTAACAGTTATTTTAAACAGATTCAAAGCTGTTCCCTAAGGGCCTACCACTAGAGATGGCAGAAGACTCTGCACTTCACTGCCACCCTTTTACCAGCAGTCAGCCATCACTGCTAGCATCAACAGAGCAATCTGACAGGCTGCTCAGGCAGCAGCAACAGCCTCACCTAATGGTGATAGCTGCTCTTCTTGGAACAGAACAGACAGTGCATGTGCACACAGTCTTTTTAGATCACTGCTATGGGCTCTGATTAAACCTCTGCTTATTCCAGCTGACACACCTGAGGCCATGAACTGCAGTTGCTGACAATGGCATTGCTCCATTGGTTTAAGCTGGCACTGCTGTGCTTGGGGGTTATGTGACCTCCTGCCCCTACCACCTCCTCTGTAGCCTTGCAGATTCAAGCAGTTTGCTCTGTGGTTGCATGAGAATGCTTGTACTAGGTGAAGAATGGGGGCAGGAAGAACAGCTAAAAGCCTCTTTTAATACCAGCACCAGTTTGGGAACGTGCAGCAATAGGGCATTCCTGCTGGAGGCTGCTAGTGCAAACTGTAGAGGCAGTAACCTGTGCAGCCACTGCAGGTGAATTCAGCAGCAAGAGCAGTCTGGCTCTGGAGACAGTCTGTACCCAACCTTGCCCTGCAAAATAATTATCGCTGTTTGGCCATGCAATGTGTGATGCTGTAGGCCTCACTTCTCATCTATACCATCCAACAAAGTCTTGTGGAACAGAACTAGCAAGAATGGGGTTCTCATCTTTGGTAAAGGGAAGGGAACAGAAATGGACATCAGTAGGCCTCCATACTTTTGGTAGCTACTTCCTCTCTCTGCATCTGTGTTTCTTCTTTTGTAAACCAGGGCCAGGGAAAGTGACCTGTCTCTAAAAAGCTGCAGACCCCAACAGAATGAGTGTCCAGGCTCAGACCTGTTCCACACTCTTCCTTCTGGGGCACAAGGAAACCCAGATTCTGCAACATTCAAAAGGTAGCCACAGTTGTATTTAAGTAAATTTAAGCACTAGGAAAAGGTACCAGGCTGTTACATCTAGAAGACAGAAGAAATAGCTCTCTACCCTCTGTCGTCTTCATTCTCTTAGAGAACAAGCAATTATTCTAATGACCCATTCTGTCCGTAGTAGAGTCCTAGAACAAGGTAATTTGCAAACAGGAACTGGTCTGGCACTGAAGTATTCCCAAGCACAGCTGCTGAGATTGACAGGCTGAGAGTTAGGAAATGAAAGGGTTCCTACTAGTTTACTTCCTGTTCAGCACATCTTATAATTGGCAGTTTTGCATACTGATCTCAAAGGAGTTGCCCGTGGCCAAGGTAGCATTGTGCTTTTAAGACAGTTTTGAAAGGAGATGTAGCTGCAACACAAAACATTCACAGGCAAGGCTTTTGTTTGTTTCCCAGAGAAAGAACTGAGTGTGCTTCGTAAGGAAAATCGCAAGAATGCTGCCCTTGCTGTGGCCATGGGGTTGCTGATTGCTCTTATTTACGCCTGCTGGACAATGTGATTGTACTCAAGAATTCTCCCTGCTGACCAAATGACTCTCCTGCAAGGAGCCCTTCCTCCACTCACCACTGTGCCTCCCCCAAGGGTGAGGATCAGCATTTCAAATTGCTGTTCTCGTTTATCCTCTCCAAGCATCATTGTAGGGAAGCTTTTTCTCTGAGAATTGAGGGGGACAGGAGACAAACCACAAATCACAGCACACTTGCACTTAGAAATCAGGTCAAACAGAGCTCAAGCTGGTGCTGTCTTACACAGTGAAGACCATCCAGCCTGATGCAGGAAGGCAATTCTCCCTTTTGAAGAGGACCTCTGTGGTTGCAGACGTTCCTGTGACGCAGACATTCCTGTGACTCAGCCATAAGCTGAAGGGACACCAAGAAGCTCTTTGAATCAAAGGGTAACGTGGGTATTGTGACCTAAAGATTCCACATGTTCCCAGAGCTGAGCTAAACAAAGATGTTTCCTCCTCCGCACTGACTTACAGGACCAAAGGAATCCTACCTCCACAAAAACAGATGGGAAGTAGGCATCTCTTTTTCTGCAAGCAGGTAGCATCCAACTTGAGATCTGGATGCTTGGGCTTTGAGAAGATCTACCTACCTCTCCAGTGCATCAGAGCTTGGTAGCCATTTTGTGCCTCCAAGAATCAACACTTGCAGAAGAGAATTTACTATCAACTCCCAGGGATGGAAGTACCTCTGCAGGGCTTTAAATAAAATAGTTTGACCTATTAACTTCCTGTTTTTCTTTTTTCCCCCCCATTTTGTAATGTGCCTCTCAGCCACTGCTTTATTCTCATCCTACCATCTCCCAGCTGGCACACATTGCACCACAGTAAGCCTCAGCTGGGTTAGGCACTTAATATCCCTGGTCAGCAAGGTCTCAACAGTGGGTTGTTGGTCTGTTGTGGCCTGGAATCTACTTGAGTGTTTGCTTCCTTTGAGTGGGAAAGCAGCCTAGCATGCTGGAGACTGTGGCTGTAGTCCCCTCTCATCTGATGCAGTGACATACAGTAGGTAGCCCTCAGTGTGCTCTAACTTGCCAGGAAAGCCTTTAAAAGGGTACTGCCTTGAAAATTTAACTGTGCAAAGCATTTCTCTGTCTCCACACTGACACACACTGCTGGCCAGAATTTTGTGGGGAGCAAAGTAAACAAGCACTGTTGTAAACTAAAGGGGCTGTATTGGTAATAGAGACAATGAAAGTAGAGAAGTCAACACAAAATGATACGCAGCCTAATAACAATACATTGTGCAATTAATGTACATAAACATTCCCTTCAGCAAGACCTTCCTCACCCCCCTTCCCAACATAATCCCTCTGTATTTACCCTGCAGCAGGGAAGCAAGTAGCATGGTGGCTCATGCTTGCCTTCTTGAAGGGGGATTCAGAATCAAGGTTCAGTGCATCAAAAATAAAATTAAAAATAAAAGCAAATTAAAATCAGGAAGAGCTGGAGGCAACTGGGTAAATGGAAGGTATCTGTTCATAAAAGCTAGCCTGCAGGCAAACCAGGTTTTTTTTCACCCTCAGAGGCCTACACTCACCCTAGTGTACTTCCTAGTCACCCTTCTGTCTGCCAGCCCACAGGAGACCAAAGCCCTGAGTGGAGGACACAACACTTAGCAAAGGAGCCTGGCAAAGGGAGCAGCATGCTTTGCTGGCATTGGAACAGCCTCAAGGCAGTCCAAAGAAGCACCAGAACTCAAATTACTGGTTGGTTTAAAAAGCCAACTGCACACAGGCCTGGAAACCACACAGTTGGGAGGTTCTTTATTGCCCACTGGGAGAGATTCTTCCTCATCCCTCATGGACGTGCCTTTGCCAAAACAAAGTTGCCAGTGACAGGCCTCTTATTCTTTGGGGGGGCGGAAGGGCCACCATTTCTTTCATACATGTTTTACTGATGCTTGAGAGCAGAGGGGGTCTCTACAGGTCAGCAAGAGGATGCATTAACAGCATGCGGTCCCTCAACTGCTTTGGTAGACATAACTGTGTCTGGGGACTAAGTCACCAATGTGGAAAAAGCAGCTTTGACCCACTTCACTTTTGGCCAGAACTTGAGAAGAAACAGAATAGCTGCCCTGCACAATATTCAGGGCTACCTATTTGTAAGCTAACCTCCCATCCACTCCCAGGCTTTGCCTCCTCCAGTTTCCATTGACCAACAGAGCATGCCAACTTCTGCGCTGCTCCTTTAGCCAGGGGTGCGGTTCTGCAGTGATCAAGCCTGCATGTAATTTTCTCTGGTGCAAGGATTTGCAGCTGTTAAGTTCATTTATACCAAACTGTAGAGAATTAATACATGGTTATATAGAGACAATTTGCTTGTGAAGACATGGAATTGCTCCAAGCTCAGAGAGCACAGCCTACTTGTAGGATGACGTTCAACTGCGTGCTGAGAGCGAGTACAAAACCTACGCATTATGCTGGGCCTTAGAGGGTGGAGGTGGGACTCCTACAACATGCCATCCTTGTTTTGGCTTCTTTGGGTGGGGTGCAGGGCACCCATGCATCTGTACACCTACAAGTGAAAATTTCCATGTCTTGCTACATAAAGCTTGTTCAAATCGTACATATGGGCATGGAGAGAAAGAAACCAGAATCTAAACAACTGCTATAGATTCTAGAACTATAGCTTTCTTTAAGGCACAGTTCAGACAACCCCTAAATCAGTTTCCTCCCTACTGCCAATCTGTGTTTAAAAACAAGCCAACAACAACAACAAAAAAAAAAAAAGGGCAATTTTGCTGCTTGGCCAAAAGCAGTCAACTGTGTGTTATCTTCTGATTTATGTGGAAGACCTGGCAAAAGTGCCATGGAAGCCAGAAGTGAAGGTAAAACGTGCAACAGAAGACAACTTCTGAGCCCAGCACAGAAGTGCATGGAGAAGTCTGTTGACACACAAATGCCATGCTGGGAGTTTCACAGCTCTGGGCCTTCACCCCAGATTGCAGTTCCAGGGCCAAATGAGACGTGGAACGTTTTAAAGCCCACTCTGACATTTAAAAAGGAAAGTCTGGTAACCTTTCCAGTGGGCAGTCAGGGGACAGGATTTCTTCTGATTAACCAACATGGTCAAAGTCAAGATCTCTTTTCACTGAAGCCCTGGGTTTTTTTAACTAAGTCAGACGTTCCCATCATTTCCTCCAAAGACCTCCAGCATCGCAACCTTCCTGTGTCTTCCCTCCCACATCCACTTTCCTTCCTGAAGATTTGGGTAATAGTGTCGAGTACCAAGAATCAAAGCACCTTGGTCTCAGAAGTACCATGAGGCATAGACACGTTCACAAATTAACCTCAGGCTGCTGGCACAGGATCAGTCACTGACCTGGAGAGGGGAAATCCTTGTCACAGCAGCTTCTAGAGGTCTGAGAAATCCCTGGCACTGAGCACATAAAATCTGTGCCAGGAACTCTACTCATCACCTGCGTTGGCCTTTGTCCAACAGGACCATCACATAGGAATTGCCAGTGGCCAGCCAAGTGCCTTGATAAGCAGAAGTGTTGGAGACACCAACAAGAATACATACTTGCATCCCAAAGCTAGCATTCCCCAATGAGTTAACACCCTCCACTGGGTAGTGTAGGCCTTTGACAAGGCCGAGGAGACAGATAGCTGCCAGGAACGATGCAGGGCCGCTTCAATGTGCTGTTGCCCAGCTCTGCCACCAAGACATCCCTGCTCCTTCCCACACTGCCAGGGAAGCACAAGCCTGGAGAGTTCTGGCACACACAGAGCTCCGCAAACCTCCATGAATGTTTGAACAGGAGCAAAGAAAGCTGCCAGCCCCTTGGCCTCATGCATGCAGTAGGTCAGGACAAAAGGGTGTTAGGCCTTGGCTCCAGGAGTCACCATGGGTGCTCCAGCAGCAGGCGCTACCTGGGCCATACTCTTATATACACTGCCAGGGTAGAGCCTCGTCCTGTGCCTTCTGCATACTACTCCCTGGTTCAATCGCCTCCAGGAAATCAGCTCTGGAGAAGACCAGGATAGAAGTTGTGGAGCCTCCCCAGTCTCATCAGTCCCTGAAGAATCCAAGCTGGGCTCAGCCCCCCCTGCACCCCTCAAGAGAGCAGGGTTAGGGGTAGTGCGCTTGGATGAAAGACAGGACATCCTCCTTTGATAGCTTCTCTGGATCTTGCCTTTTCTGAGAGTCGTGCACTTTGACACCTTCCCCCCACTCCCAGAAGAGGCGGCTGTAATGGCAGATGCTGTGGGCAGAGAGGAGAGCAAGATTAGTTTGGCAGGGGAGGGGAAGGAAAAAGCTGTCATCCTAGCCACAAAGTGCACTACACAGACAGCTGCCCTTGCAATGGGAGCCACACAGAGATATTCTAAGGGGTGCCTTAGAAAAAGACCAGTGCATTCATTCACCTTACAAACTCTACAGCCCTTGAGGTACAGCAACTTCCAAGCCTAAGAGATTTCCATGGAAACAAACTTGTTAATTCTAGCTTCACTCAAGATTCAGTTCAGTATTTGCTGGAAGGAGACAAGTCATTAGGGAAAAACCTACCTCCCCCCAACTTTTTGAGAGGATGAAACTGTCATTGCAGGCAACGGAAAGGTCTTAATGAAGAACTTAGAAAGTCTGCCAGCAGCCGCAAGCAGCAATCCAATCACTTACCACAAACCTACTAGAATCAGTAATAGCTGTCCTATGGAGCTTTGCAAATGAACAGCACTTCACACTGTACAAAAGCAGCTAGGATCATCCCCCTTTTCCCTGGTGTGAAATAACCGAGCTCCACTTGGCTGCTGAGAGTTCTGGTCCTACAATGCCATCTCCTACTCCATCCATCAAGCACAGCCCTCCCTCACTGCATCAACAGTCCCAGCTTAATGAAAACAAAGCTACTAATTACTGCCGACACAGCAGCCTTTAGTTTTGTACAATTACTGACACTTAATATTCATAGCTTATTTAGTGCTACTGTTCTAACAAAGCAGTACTAGCACAGCGACAAGAGCACATGTCAATGGCTAATTATAGACACATTAGCATTCACTAACTACAACACAACACGTCCCTTCTGGAGTCCCACACAAGCGCTCCCTCCACCTCCTCAGCCATTCATGCAGGTTCATGCTGGCCTACTTCTGAGTACATAGGCAGAACTAACCCCATCCTGACACATGGAGGAAAAAAGCACTGTGTGCCTCTGCCTTTTAAGCCTGTTCTTCTATTTAGCTGGTTAAGGAAAGCTTAAGGATCTTTAAGAGCACTGCTGTAAGGTAGGTAAGGAGATTCAAAGTGAGAAAATCAGGAGCCCTATTTCATATCATGCGCTCACTCAGAGGCACAGTCCTGGGTAGTGGTGGCGGAGGGCATCTCTTGAGACTACCTGAGGGCAGGGTATGCAGAACATCTCCACACATGAGCCCTGAGGCGTCTCACACACTCAGGATTTGCCGTACTTAAGATGTGGCCTTAGCCTAGTACTCAATAGATACGGATGGGGTTCAGCAGCCACAGTGTTAATGTCTGGGAAAGGGTGGGGTTCCCAGCCACAGTTTTAATGTCTGTCCAATGACAAGCCACTCCATCCTTTCCTGAGGAGCTGCTGCTTTTCTCTCACCCTCTCTTTAAACAGCTCCCAGCTACCTACAGCTTATTCCAGAACCTGGGCTAAATGAACTGGGATTTGCTTTTAAATTAGCAACTTCCAACCAAGCATCTTAAAATACAGAGATGCAGCAAATTACAGTTGCTGGGCTCAATTTCCATTTCCCTGTGTGCAAGGAGGTTCAGTAACTTGTACTCTGCTGCAGACAGGGGAACAAAGTTGTGAGATGTGTGTTATTCATAGCAATTAATTGCAAAATCCACGAATCCAGATCAGCAATTTTCTAAGAGTCTGATAAAGTGCCAGCTTCTGCAGCACACCCTGCTGGTGACCAAGCTGCGCTTGCACTGCAAATGACCGTAAGAATATAGCGCTGCACGCCTGAACTCCCTTCCAAATACCCAGACACTCACACAAACTCGGACACAGCTTATCCTTATCCTTCCATAGCCTCAGCTCTGGCTTGTACTCACTGAAAGGGTGCGATGGATTCAGAAGGGAGGTCGTATGTCGCTTTCTTCGTCATTTTGTTGAAGAAGAATTTTCTCTTGGAGTTTTTGCTGTATGCCATTGTCCAGGGATCTTGGAGAAGAGTCACAGGGATCAGACAGAAAATGGAAAGGGGAAAAAAAGCACAGTATAAATACACATATAGTGCAAGCAGGAAGGAGGAATCTGTAAGAATAACTGTGATCCTTCTCTTACTCCTTTTTCCTTCCCTTCCCCAAGACGACCTGCTTCCCAAGCCGTTCTCTATTCGCTGAGAAAACTCCCTTCTTCCTGCTTTTAAAAGTTGACATTCCAAATAGCATATTTCCATGTACTATTACTCTGGAAAATATCTTCTTGGTGAAAAATTATGATCTCATTAAAAAAGAAAGTCATCAGTCATGTAAATAAATGGAATTACCCACAACAGAAAAACCTATCATATAAATACCCTAAACCTTATCCAAATCCAGACTACCCTCATTACATGCAAACAGTTAATGTCTGTTTGGAATTGGGATATTCCCATTAATTTTTTACCAAGTTACAACAGGAGCGAGCCTGGTCAATACTTTTTACTTGAAGATACAAAGAAAAGTTAAATAGGAGCGGGGACTCTCTCTTCCTACCATTCACAGTCCGTACGATGTAGAGTCCTGTGGGCACAAAGTGCCGGTCATCGCGGCCAGTGTAGGATAGCCGGGGTATTCCCCCTGAACTCTTGATGATTTTCATCTCTAACCTAAATGTTGAGAGAAGGCAGTGATAGAGGTTCCCTGTTTCTTCCTTTACCATCCTCTTGCACACAATGTGCCACCTGCACACCCTCTTCAGAGTGTCACAGTGAAAACTGACAGCACCACACATGACAGGACAAAATCATCACATCCTGGAGAATTCAGTCTCTTGCCTCCCCCACATGGCTAGAGAAACCAGCCAGAACTGTCTAGATCAGGTAGCAAATCGAGTGTTGCAATGAAGGATCTGGGATGATCTACCAATCGACTTAATCCAACGGGGTTCCCATTTCAGGTATGAACTCTTAACCTTTTAAGCCACTGAGAAGCCACTGACACTTCTGCACACAAACTCAAGCGCCGTTGCTACTCCTACTGTTGTAAAGCACATTGGCCACATCTACGGCATTAGAACTCAGCAGGATGATGCTCTGAGTCAGCAGCATCTCAGAAACAGCAGGCACCAGCTGCACGAGCTCTAACAGCTCTTTCTCCAGGACTCCTCAAGCATAGATCAGCACATCCTTCCCATTCCTGTGCATCGGTGGCTGACAACCTCAGTGGGCCCTGAAGTCTCTCATTTGTGCCAGTCACTTACCTCACAAAAATCTTCTCCATTTCCTCCAATCTGTACACTTCCTTCACACTGGGGGGAAAGACAAAAATGAGATTTAAAAAAAAAAATAATTATAAACTGTCCTCTTTTGCTGTCCCAGTTACAGGGAGCAGCCAAACAGTTCATTTTGTACAGCATGAGGTGGTCAGGCATGACTGAGGTTCACCTTTCTCCTCAATCTTCTGCTCTAGTGCCGTATTTCTCCTGGCTTGAGAAAACCCGACACCTGCATGCTCATGGCTGGGTTGCTGTAAGCAGCATACGAGCATCCTCACTGCTAAGGAAGCTGTGCATTTTTACCTCAGGCTGAGTATACAGAAGAGGAAGAACAGTAACTCAGGTGCTTTTGTTTTCCCATGAAGTAAATTCACCAAGGTCAGCCCCAGGCAGGTTCTGGCCTCAGCACGCTGGCCTTGCAGTAAAACTAAACTGCCTGATCTTCACCGTTGTTATCCTCAGGGACACCACAAACTTCTTAGTTACCCTGAGGTAAAAACAGCTTTTTTTTTTTTTTAAATCAGTAAAGATAATTTGGAATCATCATTCTTATCGTTACGTCAAACTACTTTTGGGTTTTTTGTTCTGACACACAGAAAGAGACAATCGGAAAGTTTCAAAAGCACTGCCTCTGATCAGACATCCCAACCACTCATTTCCCACACACTGCTACAAGCATCAGGCTTCAAAGAGCACAGTTTGAACACCTTTTCACAAGGGCAAAGGACCCCTCTACAACCCATTTCTACAGCTCTCCTCACTTCACCTTCAGCCCTCCCCAACACTTCAAACTCCTCCAGTTATCTGTTTGTCTTGAGTTTAATTGAAATCCCACTCATTATCTTTCACTAAGTCACCAAGCAGAACATCCTCTTTCCCTTCCTCCAGCTTCTCTCACAATATCACGGCACTTCTAGCTTCTGAAACAGAAGCTGTTTTGTCCACAATACCTATCTGATACCCAGCATAATGATGTTCTTATGCTCCACCATATGAGAATTATTGAAATGGAAGGTCAGGAGGCAACCAAAGCTGAAGCCCTTTGTCAGGAACTTTCTTGGGATCGTAACTTAAGCCTCGGGCTAAACCATTTGGAGATTGCAACTGCTGGTCAGCACTTCATTTATCTACTAACAGTCAGCATCTCTGCACTGCTGCTGACCCTTCAGGGCAGACAAGGACATAGAAGTCTTTGCAATGATTAAGCTAACTGGGTGCTAGACCTACTATAGCACATATTTGAAATCTGCAGCAGCCAATCCACCTATGATGAAAACATGACTGTCTGATATGTGAAAGGAGGGCACAACTTCCCCACTATCAACCTTTTATCTTAGATATTTAAAGGGCTTTTAGCCTCTTTCCATTGTACATAACAGAACTATGAATTTCAGCTTGAAATTTAACTCTCCTTCAGCTCCTTATCTTCATCCTCCAACACACTGAAACCAAAGCACGCCAGGCTGAGGGAAGGAGTCATCACTCACCGGATGGGGTTCATATCTGGCCGGCTAGGTTTAGAAACAGCTTTGACAAACTTCTCCGCCAGCTGAATCCTGAATGAAAATGGAAGGAGAATCCAGCAATTTAGCAAGATCTTTGGCACAGCAGATAGGTAACAGTTTCAGCAGAATAACTGATTGGACACTTCAGTACCTGCAGACTGCCTCCACTACTAGCCAAATGGGTACTGAGCAACACTTTTTTCACCCTGCCCTCCCAGTTCGGTGCCCAGTGATACTGGCTATTATCCATTAGGAATGGGTCCCCATAGCCTCCTCTACAAGCCCACATGCTGCTGAACACATTGATGTATCAGCAGGAAAGCAGGACTGGTAGAGACATCATGCCCCTGAGGAAGGAAACAGAGGGGCTCGTTCCTTCTCCTTCAGCCAGTTGTCAGCTATGCTCATTCATATTCCCAGGATGCTCAGTTTACCCAGACTGTGCCTGGCTCACTCCAGACTAAGAAAGGAGCTAGACCTGCCCTCATATGCAGAGAAGGTACAGTTGGAAAAGGCTATATGCACTTCAGAGCAGGTTCATTCACAGTTCATCGTTGTAGCAGCATTTCAGCTGAATGCACTTGTCTCCCTGTGCTCAGCATTCTGCTTTTAGTGCAAACGCTGCTTCCCAATCACTCCTACTCACGTACAAGAAAGAAGCTTCTGCAGATCCTACATACCTCTGGTTGAAATGCTGCTTTCGAACGTCATTGCCATTCAGCACCAAGACATCAAGGATGTGGATGGCACTGATTTTTCGCTGGGCTTTCCCCTAAGGAGAGCAATACAGAGACTTTCTACTCAGACTGTTGCTATTTCAGCTTTGACTTATAGCCTGTTTTTTGACAGGACATCATTCTCTTCTAGCAAGAAAGTGCCTTTCCAGATATTGGAAGCACACAAATTCCCTGCTGCCCATTGTACAGTAAACGTGCCATCCTCCAAGAACTGGTGTATCTCAACTACACAGTTCTGTCTCAGGGGAAGGAGAAAGGGCAGGACTACAGGTGCCATCACCAGCTCTCTCTGCCTTATCAGGTACCGCAGCACAAAGCCCAGTGCACTACAGCATCCTCATCTGAGGTGCCAGAGGACAGCCAAACTCCCAGGCAGCAATACCTTAAGCTGTGAATATACCACGAGAATCTTTTCCCCAAGGCCTGCAATCACTACTGAGCAGTTATGCACCCAAAGAGCCACAGAACACATTAGGTCATGTTGGCAATGTCATCTGCTGCTGCACATAGGACAACAGCAGCATGTCAGGTCCAAAGTGTTTTCAAAAGAATGTTAAAAGCTCGTATCTCTAGCACTGGGCAGAAAGAAGGAATTTAATCCAAAATAGTTTCTCTAAAGATCATATACAAAAAGCTTGCACCTGGCACAGATGGAACATTTATTCTGCAGTATCTTACAGAGAACAGGCGAAACCGCTCATTATATTTGCAGCCGCTTGGTAAGGGAGAGAACAGCCTCCTACCTCTCCTTTCAGCTCATGAACAATCTCCACAGAGAGAAGGGTATCTCGTGGCAGCTCAGTTTTCAAATCCAGCTTTGTCCAGCGATCTGACTGGCGACCATCCCAGGTGTAGATCTGTGATTTCTGTGTGTAGAAGGCAGAGTCAGATTCTGGAGGAGAGACCTCTGACTAACTGTAGAGCAGCCCTCAGAGAATCTTTTTGTCCTAGGCTGTCACAAGCAGTTTCTTTGTCAGAAGTTTTAAGGAAGAACCTAAATCTCTACAGCAAAGGAACAAAAACACTGATTCTAATCTGCCAGTTACTTTTCATACCCACACAAAGAACCAGAAATAGAACACCTTTAAAAGGACAGTGAAGATAATTAGGGACACTAGCAAGAGTACAGGTCTCTGTGTAGGCTGCGATTACAAAAACAGGGTTAATTAGTGTGAAAAGCAGTGAAGTCAGGAGAAAGAAACATAAAATAACTAGCAGTCTCAGGGACTGCTGATGGGGATCCTTTCTGGCCTTTGAGGACAGGAAAGGATGGAATGAAACTGCAAGGCATTGAAATGAACCAGCAAAACTCCCGGACTGTTCTCAGCACTTACCCCTAGCCCCAGGAGGAACTTCTGCTCACTTCCAGACACCATACAGCGGTAATCTAACACTTGGCGGATTTTCTCTAGCGTACTAGAATTCAGAGGAGTGGGTTTGTAACTGAAGGTATCAATGTCTGTGCCCTAAAAAGCAAAGTATGAAAAAGGCAAATTAGACACAATACATCAACAGGTAGGTAAATGCAACTTCTACATGAAACGATAATCTGGGACTAGCTTCTTCATCTCTTAATTCCTATGGGGAAAAGTTCTATTTGTATGAAAGGACTCAGAACAAGTTTCTGGGTAAGGTCTCACCTGGATCAGCTCAAAGAACTTGGACTTGGGATCTGAAGATGAAGGAGCAACACGAGCCTGATCAGGAATCTGAAAACAAATCCAAACGATTGATTATAAGTGTTGTTCTTTGGCATGTTCACAGGAACCTTTCTGGTTTCAATACATGACAGAACATCCTGCCCCCTGAAACTCCTGCTCTTGGGATTCCAGTTGCTGGAGAGGTCATCTAGCAAATAAAAGGTCTCACGTATTTTGCAAATTTAAAGCAGGCATACCACGTCTCACAGGAAACAACAGGCAACTTCAGAAAGTTTCAGGCTAAATCTTTGATTTCATGCATGTTTCAACAAAATACTGTTTCATTGAAGACACATAATTAGCCTGTGAAACAGACTGTCATACCTATGGCCCCACCGCAGTCAAAAGCTCAGGAAAGACAAACTGCAGACTCATAAAACGACCTTTTGGAGAGCTCTGCTGCTTGGGAACTAGGTGCTGAGTTCACTCTGTGTACAATGAAATATTCTCAACTGCAGCAAAGCAGCCTGCGCAGTTAAGCCATACACATAATGAATCAGAAACATCCTGTTTGCTTACATAAACAGCTTGAAATGGTCTCTGACTTTCCCACAAGACAACATATTAAACCTCTGGCTACAAAGCCCTATCGGTACTGCAGCTCCATTCTTGTTTCACCACAGCAGTGACACCTTCACGACCTCCCTGCTTGGCAGCTTACTTACCCCCCATAGCTGGAGACACTCCTTTCGGATTTCAGCCTGCCGTGGCTCAATCAGCGTCCTAGAGAAAGACAGCAGACTGTTAAGATGGTGAAACCTCCTTGCTTTTGCAGCATTACATATCCCAGCCCTATAAAACCTGCATCTTTCAGCATCTGGTTTGGGAATGACAAACATGCTCTGTTCCTCAACCGGTTACACAAAAGAGGATGCTGCCTTCCCTCCCCACCCTCCACCCATCTCCAATCCCCGTGTTTAGCTTTGTTTCATGGACTGCACTACTGATTAGCAGCCAACACTCCATCCCATGAAAGTACCACTGGGTGTCAACATTTTCAAGGAGTTATGTATTAGTATGAACTTATGCTAATCTCCAAAAGCTGGGTACGTAGCCCTATTTACAAATAGCAATGAAGACTTGCTGAAGGCCACACAAAAAACAGTGCCAATGTTAGGATTAACTCTCAGATAATTCCTGGCTACCAGACTCACTCAACTTTCTACTACGTATTCTCTGTGAATGATACCTGAACAGAAAAGTCATGCCAGGGAAACAACTATACATTGCAATGGCTTTAGTTTTATGCAAGAAATTCACGTCATAAGCTTTAGGTAAGTCTAGGTATGTAACTTAGATGCTTTGAATTGCCCCTGGAAAATGAAGACCTATGAACCACACCCAACTTAGATGGTTACTGTAGAATTGAACATACCAGCTGGGAGTTACTTTTCTGCTTACTTTCCTGCTAAGAAGCAGGCTCACTTATGGTAATCAGAAATCATGCAATGCATGGAAGCCTTCTCAACAAGGGTGATAAAAGACCATCAACTTTCAGGACTCCTCCAGCCACCCACACGTTTCTGCAAACAACTCAGACATGAACTGAGCTACCCAAAAGCACTATTCACTTTCCTGGCTCCAAAGGCCAAGCCAAGTACCAGCTCAAATCAAGAGGGCAATCAAATCATTAAAGAAGGGCAAAGCAATTCATTTCTAGTAGATTAATTCAGTCCTCACCAAAAGCCAGAGGAATATACTCACGTGTCTTGAACAAAAGCACGAATTTTGGCTAGTGCCTTTATCTGAACTTTGCAGTGGCTGAAAGAGAGGACAAGTTTCAGTCAGGGAGCAAGACTGTTGTTCTGTTCAAGATTGTTATACTGTTCAAAACAAGGAAGAGTGCTGGGACAACAGGGGGAAGCCAGTCTGATCCTCAAAGCAGTGATGGATCATTGCCAACATGATTCAAAGTGACAGCAAGACCATTGGAAAGAACTAGGCAGTAGCCTCCTTTCCTTTCTACACAGTACTCAGAGGCCAAACAGTCACTAACAGTATACAGCATTTCTCTCTGCACAGGGTCCCTCTGCTCTGCTAAGCCTCTCAGGGAGCAAAAGCAGAGCAGTGTAGCAGCATCAACAAGTACCTCCACGAGTGCAAGAAGCTACAACTGAAAGCCATGTTGGTTAACCTGCCTACAGCCAGCAGCCCTCATTGCCCATGGGCACTCACTTTTCATTGGACTGGACAATGTAATCGCAGAAATCCTGGTCGCCTTTGATCACATTCAATGGGACAACAAGATTCACATCCACATCAGAGTTGCGCAGCTGGTTGAGTCTGATGTTCACCATGAAGAGATAGTCCCGCACGTCATCAATCCCTAGCTTTAATCCTTTGCATATCACATACCTGCAGAGCAAGGCATTGAGATCACGTGGGCTCAGTTCTTCCACACAGCCAACTTTCCTGCCACACTCCCATTACCGGGACAGTTTCCCAAATCCCAGGAATTCTTTCCTCCTGGGTATCCCTAGGAAGGTGCAATCTCACCTATCACAAAGTCATTATACCTTTTCTACACTCTGGAAAGACTGGGAAACTCAACCCTCTTGAAAAACCCCACAGATCTCCCTCAAGTAGTAAATCAATTCTGCTAAACTTGACAGGCACAATCGTAACACACATAATATGCTCTAGCTTCATTGGAACTGTAGTTGTTTCACGCAAAACAGAATTTGTTATATATTTAGTTCCACTGCTTTCTCCCCAGAATTGTAATTTGGCAAATATCTTCTTTACTTTGTCAAACATAATTTGCTAAGCATCTAAAATGTTTCTTCCTCCAAGACAGTTGCCAATTGAGGCAGGTCACAGAGCTTCCACTAGACTTGCCCAAATCCATCTATCACTGTATTTAGAGGACAGAGTTTCTTTAGTAGTCCCCTTATGGCTCAAGAATTCTCACCTCTCCGAGTTCGCAGGGCGGCTTGTCACAGGTTTAAAGATGCACACTCGCTCAAAGCAGCAATACAGCAGATAAACAAGTCCCACACTGAATGGAGTAAACAGGTCAAAGGTTTTGCATACAAAATGTCCTCCTGGAAAAAAGAGAGGAAGCACACCGATGCCAGCAGACTATAAGGAAACAAGGAGATACCAGGCACCTCAATAACTTTCTCTTCTGCAGAACTGGTAAAGAGTGTTTTTGTACAATTAAACAGCATCTAAAACACGTTCATGAAGTGGGCCAGTGAGACTCCACAAACCATCTTCCCCATATCTCTGCAGCAAAGAGAAAAGCATTTCCCTGACAGGATCAAATCAGTATGCATGCTGTCTCATGAGCAAACCTTCTATCCACCCCCCATGCTGCCCTTCCAGGCCCAAACTGTGCCCTATGGCATGGCAGCATGCTATGCAAAAGCCTCAACAGAAGAGGAGCTCTGATACGTGCAACAAGAAATCTCAGGCTGGAGGAGAAAACTAACAGATGTTACCTAAACAGAATAACTCGCCATCTAGAAAGGAGTCTGTGTCGCCCCTTGCCTTCAAACAAGATTCCCAATTTCCCCAAGCAAAAAGCAGTTTTACAGAGCTATTATCTACCCAGACAGGAAAGACTTAAAGCAGGTTTCTCCTTTTACCATATCACATTTGAGACTACTGCTAAGTAGATCATTGCCTCAGGTACTTCTAAACATAGGGCACAAGATAAATGATAACATAATGAGCATTTTTATCTTTTGCGTCAGTGCCAAATGCTAACTAAACTCAGCAAAAGAGAGGAGCCATCAAAACCAGACAGAGCTGTAGTGTCCATCATTTGGCAACGATGAGGTACAGCTCAGACAATGTGAGACACAGAGTCATAGAATAGTTTGGGTTGGAAGGGACCTCTAAAGGTCATCTAGTCCAACCCCCCTGCCGTGGGCAGGGACATCTTCAACTAGATCAGGCTGCTCAGAGCCCCGTCCAACCTGACCTGGAATGTTTCCAGGGATGGGGCATCCACCACCTCTCTGGGCAACCTGTTCCAGTGTTTCACCACCCTCACTGTAAAAAATTTCTTCCTTATATCTAGCCTAAATCTACCCTCTTTTAGTTTAAAGCCATTCCCCCTTGTCCTGTCACAACAGGCCCTTTCATCTTATTCTGATCACATCATCTTATTCTGATCACAGAGATGGCAGATTTAAAGGAGAAAAACCACAAGTCAGAGGGAAGGATGATCTGGATAAATACCACTCTGTTCCAACCAGCCTGCTAGAATATTCAGGAAGCTGTTGGTCCAGCTAGTGCCATAGAACTCAGATATACTGTCCAGTTATCACACTAGTGACCTTAGCCCAAGACAGCTACATAACATAACACATTGTAAGAGCTTTAAACTAATGCATTTTACCTCATGCTTTTAATTAAAAGCGAAATAGATATAGATAATCTTATTTTTCTGCGCCAGTTCTCTTAGCTTTGTGACAACCATCTCAGGATGTATGTGTATACACTCAATTCTGTGCAACTTAGCCTCACTGCAGAGCAGACTGTGGCACGTTAATAAAAATTGTACAGCATCCTTCCACAATGCCACCCACACCTTAGAGAAGGAGGAAGAAAATTAATGGATAAAACATACCTGTCCGGACAACGGACAGTGCTGTAAGGAACTGGCAAAGCATGAGCTGTTTGCTTAGGATTTCTTGCAGATTCTCCTGACCCTCCACTGAGAAACCCTGCAAAGCACATAGCATATGATTAGTATCTCCACAAATCTGATGGTCAAGCAAAGGATTCTGTACAGCTAAATCATGGAATCATGATAATTTCTGTTTCTTTAAGGCAAAAAACACTGCCACCAGGAATTCTAATGGCAAGCCTTGAAGAATTTCACATTGTAACTACGGACACATGCCAAATATCCTACTATATGCAGAGTGAGGTATCAGTTTTGGTCATTAGCGCAGGAAGAAAAAGAAATGGACCAACCCCATCAGCCATTAAGAAATGCACTCCCTTGTGATCAGTATTGTCCAAAACAAAATTCCGGAAAGCAGTAATGTTCTCTGGGCGAGTGATGTCTCCATCTCCATCAATCCCTCCCTCTCCTAAGGGGAAAAAAGGAGACAATTACTAACACATTTGCAAGTACAGACAAAAGATCAGTATGTGCAGGTGGTCTATTGTATTCAATCAACATTTAGTCAGAAATTACACAGACCTGGATAGGCAAATAAGCATTAACACATTCCCTTGTTCACCACTGAAGATGCTTGTTAATTTAGGAAAATTATTCAGATTGCGTGGTCAGGACTCAACAAGGCCATATAATAACCATGCTCAAATGACGAGTTGTACATTAGCCTCAGCAAAAGACAAATCGTTCACTGCCCTCCCCGAGATGAGAGCTGACTACATGACCACATAATATTCTCATCCAAGTAGGAATGACACATAGCTGAATCTACTAAAAATGTAACGTTCAATCTCACTGCACAGCTCACCTGTTAATAACATGTTTTTACAGACAAGGCAAAATTATTTACATTGTGCATTGGCAACTTTCTACTAGGAATTCAAATCATTCCAAAGAAACACAATACTCTATTTCCAAACACAATGTAATCTGGAATTTAAAAAAGCAACCCCAAAAAAACCCTGCAAACAAATTTATAAAGGAAGTAGGGAAAGGGAAATAGGGTTTGTGCATGAATGTTCGTACAGTTTTCCCATATGGCTCTTTTTAAGAGCACTACATTGTTCCCCAGGTTGGTGTTTTAGAAAGCCTGAGGTGTATTCTAGAGCTCACCAATTCTGACTCTGAAGAAGCCTGAACTTCTATTTGGTATTAGTCCCTATAAATCTTCTACAACTACAGCTTCTATTAACTGAACTGGAGGACTAGAAAGCAGCAGAGATCAGGATGCATGATAGCACTTTGATAACTAAATTCCTCATCAATCATCCTGTCAGTAAGTGAAGTGACACTAGAATTTGTTACCATTCTTCACAACACAAATATCACAGCAGTCTACTTCCTTCCCATCACTGGAAAAGAGTTTGTACACATCTCACTAGACTTTATAGCATAACAGACAGAAAGGGATCAAGAAAAAGCATCAAAGTCATTGGGCTATTCATTTCTCCAGCTATCTCCTCCTCTCCATAAGAACACCAGTTTGCAGTGAGTTATGAAGATCGAAATGCTGCCGTTGTTAGAACAATGTGTTTATCTGCCTTGCTGCCCTTGCCATGAACCTGCTCTTTAACGGTTCTAATCCTGAAGTGCTAACCATTCTCTAAGAGTTCATGGTCAGGTGTCAAAAGTGGCAGTCAATAAGAGTCAGAGTAGTGGAGGGGAAAAAAAAAAAAGCACAACAATGGAAAAGCAAACCCTCTTCTCTACAAGACAGTCACACTCAAGTTTCCTTTACACAGTCTGAAATAAGAAGCAGGAATACTAGCAATCCTTGTATTTCCCTTCCTATTCCTAGAGGCTATGCAGATAGAGGGCTCAAACATATCGGCAAGCTTAACAAGTTACCATCCGTGAGGTGCAGCAATTGTCTGTGTACACCTGCTTAGTCTGTCTCAAAGCAAGGTAAAACATGTTAGCTTAAACCTCTTTGGATTAAGAAGCTCATTTAGTCACAGTGATTCAGATACAGCCTCTAGCCCAAATCTGTTTTATCTTTACTAAGAGCCCACAATCAATTATCAAAGCAGAGCTAGGGAGGCCTGATATAGAAGCATACTGCCAGTACAGCAAGTAAGGTTTCTATCTTTGGCTCTGCTAACATATCTTTGGGCAAGTCAGGGGGCTGGAGCACCTCCCCTATGAAGGCAGGCTGAGAGAGCTGACGTTGTTTAGCCTAGAGAAGAGAAGGCTCCAGGGATACCTTATAGCAGCCTTCCAGTATTTAAAGGGGGCCTACAGGAAAGATGGGGAGGGACTCTTTATCAGGGAGCGTAGTGATAGGATGAGGGGTAACTGTTTTAAACTGAAAGAGGGTAGATTTAGATATTAGGAAGAAATTCTTTCTGTGAGGGTGGTGAGACACTGGAACAGGTTGCCCAGAGAAGTTGTGGATGCCCTATCCCTAGAAGTGTTCAAGGCCAGATTAGATGAGGCTTTGAGCAACCTGGTCTAGCGGAAGGTGTCCCTGCCCATGGCAAGGGGGGTTGGAACTAGATGATCTTTAAGGTCCCTTCCAACCCAAATCATTCTATGATTCTATCATGTCATCTCACTCACTGTGTTTCAGGCTGACATCAGTGAAGTGTGAAAAATACTGTCAAGCAATCTTAAAGCACTCGACAATTTTCAGATAAGCAAAGCACTCAAGTATCAACTATTACAATGGGACACACATTGCCAGGGCAGGCTGGAAATAAGTGCAGAAGCGTGACTTGATATGCAGGCTCACCAATCTCAACCCCTTTCTCAGATGACAGACCCCTTCTACCTTGCAAAATGGTTCCCTATAAGCAGGCTTCTCTTAGATCCCCATGCTGGTATCAATATCAGCCCCGCTCCTGATACAAAGGCTGCAGCATAAGCAAAAACGTCAGATAACGCACATGCACTACATACCATAATAAGGTTCAAAGAGCTCACTGGAAGCAGAATAGAAGTCCTCTAGTTTAAAATCATTTGGTCCTTTCAAGGTCATGCCAAATCCTTTCGCATGCCACTTCCGCCTCCACAAAACATACTCAGAGAAGCCTCCGGGACCAGCACACACATCAGCAAAGTAGAGCAGCTCTGCATCTCGCTCCTTTATCAAGGGCCTCTGCAAAAGGAAACTGAGGAAATTCTACTGACCCAGTAACAGCTCCCATCAGTCAAACCAGAGACACCATAAACTACACCACTCGGCCAGAGAAGCCTCTTTCAAGCACCTGTTTTCCCAGCTAGTATCCTAAGGATTCTCCTTTCTCCCCACTTTCTCCATTCTCTGAGAAAGCACTTCTGTTTGAAAGTTAAATAGAGGCCCTCACCCCATGGAAGTCCTTAGGGTTTGTAAACATGTAGTCAAAGACATGGTCCATATTTGCCATCTTCATCGCAGCCCTGTGAACACATAAATAGGGACCTATTAAGTTTCGACCTTGGCTCCCAAGGCTGAAAGTGGACATAAATGGGAAAGGGGCTACACTACCAGAAGTTCTGCAAACCTGTTCAGGAAGAAAACTCCACGGATCATCTCATAGGGGTTAGATCTTGTTCGGGCTCGACGCATTTCTTCTCCATCCAGCTCATCAAATACACTCTGCACAAACAGAAACAAAGTTGAGCTGGACCTGGCACAGGCTTGAGGGATAGGTAGGCATGAGCATTTCCTATCCTCATGCTTCTCTCTCCTTAGATAGCAAACTCCATGCAGGGTTTGGTTCGCCAATACAGAATGTTGTTCCATCACATAATGATATTCACTCTTCTTCCAAGCCACCCCAGTTCTCAAGCAAATTTAGTGACACTGAAGAATTCTGTACTGATAGCTCCAGAGCCTGATAACATGGCTAGCCACCTCAAAAGCAGTCACAGCCTACGGTGTTTCTCACACATACATACACACTCACATACACACTCACACTCTGCTGGCTGTAACAAGGGTGCGATAAAACCTAGGAGTGAAGATGGAGCACACAAGAAAAGAGAGCGAGCTTATTTCCTTAGCTTGTTCAACTCTTCAGCCTTTCAGTTGAACTAACTAAGAAAGGGAGATTTTTCATTAATGTCTTTGAAGGCTGATGTGCAAAACAGGTTGCTGAACAGACAGTAACAACCAGGATGCGTGGTCACACTAGTGGCATGGAGGTGAAAGGGGATGTTCTGAGCTCCTGCCAATCACTTAAGTAAACTACTCAATCCCCTCCAATCATTTATTTCACTTGCTTCCCCAAAACTTCAGCTCCTCTCTAAAGAAGGGGACCCACCTTGCACTGCAGGACATTACGTAAAAGCTCTTCACTACAGAACTCTGTTTCATCTTCAATCACCATCTTCCTCTGGAACAGAAAAAGAACACAGATAACAATTAGCAAACATGGTATCAGTCATTTCAGAATGCAACACGTACCAGTGATGAAGGTTGCCAACCACATATTAGGCTGTATTAGCAAGAGCGTAGCCAGCAGGCTCAGGAATTATTCTCCCCTATCCGGCATCTTGAGACCACATGTGGAATACTGCATCCAGTTTAGCACTCCCCAATACAAGACAGACATACTGAAGCAAGCCCAGCAAAAGGGCCACCAAGATGATGAGGGTGCAGAAGCACCTGGTGTATGAGGAGAGACTGAGAGAATAGTTTGTTCAGAATGGAGAAAGGGAGATACTATTGCTGTCTACAAGTACCTAATGGCAGGAAATAGAGAAGATTGATCTAGGCTCTTCTCAGAGATGGACAGCGATAGGACAAGAAACAACGGACACAAGCTGCAACACAAAAAATGCCGATTAGCTATATGGAAATTTTCTTTTGCTAACTGGGTTAACAAACACTGAAACAGATGCCCAAACAGCTTGTGAGATTTCCATCCGTGGAGATACTCAAAACTCAACCAAACAAGGCCTTGACCAACCTGATGGTTGGTCCTGCTTTAAGCAGGAAGCTGCACTAGCAATCTCCAAAGGTTCCCTCCAGCCTAGGTTATTCTACAACTCTTTGACAAGGCAATTGTTTCAGGCTGAGTAGTCCTGCATCTTCTTAGGCTGGTAAGTACTGGGATGTAGAAAATTACCTTCCCCACAGTCATCCACTCCTTCAGCTCCTGGGCATCAGGGATTTCCGTGGTACACTCGAGGCACCAGTCCACCTCCTCGTAGGCACTGGGCTGCAAACACAAGAAATGGGAAGAGTCAGAGACGTTTTTACTAGCAAAATATATCAACCAATTGCTCCCAAAAATTTGCCTCCCAATCCTAGCATAAGGAGTTATGCCATGACTTTAGGGCCAACCATATAGTTTTTTTCTCCTAGTCTAAAACATGTCTTACTTGTTTGAATTTAAAATAAAATTAACAAAAAAAACCCCACAAAACAAAAATAAAAAAAGACCACCACCAAAAAAAACCCACGCTGCTTTCATCTCATTAGAATCTGATGAATAATCAAGACATAAAGCAAAAGCCTAGTACTCTCAAGGTACATTTTAGAGACATTGCAAAAGAGACAGCTGCCAAAAAAACACACTTCCTGATGGCGCTTTGCACATCCTTTCTCCCAGTTCTTTCCAAAAGGCCCCCTCATTCCACAACTTAATTCAGGCTTCAAACAATATTTATAATCTTGGGAAGGAATTGTTTTAGCAGTTAAGATCAAAGTGTGCCACTCCTCCACAAAGAGAGGCCGCCAAGACCTACTAACCTTCTTATATTTATTATAGTAGTATCATCCACAAGGGTTAATCATACGTAACACTTAACTGCTGTGAGCTGTAGAAACACACTGGAGAATGAGACCTAAACCAATGAGTCTACAGAACAGGTCTCAAACTCCTGGCTCTCCAGGAATAACCTCTGATGCTATTTCCAACTGCTGAAAACAATTCAAAGAAAGGAGAGCTAAGTACTATAACATGCACATACATGACTATCTGATAAGCATTGCTGTCCTTGACTAACAATGGCTGGGACCTTCTGGCTTACTCTCCAGCTGCCAGATCCCTAGGATTCAGTGTTGTGGTTTTTCTTTTTAAATACAAACATACAGCAGCTATTTCACAATAAATAATATCAAAACTGGGCTTTACTTTCCTGACAACGTCTATTTCTATTTCCCCAATTTTCTTCCCTGTTGAAGAGCTTGACAAGACACAGGACTAGAACATCTGAGCATTTTATTTGGGACTATTAAACACACCCAGAAAAGATTTAAAAAAAATAATTACCTATATAGGCATGAAAAACGATATACAGAATAAAAACGGTAAACCCAGAAGAGCTTGATAACAATTTTCAATCATATTCACTACTGCAAACTCATAAACAAATCCTACAGACCACAGCAACAATCCATCTGAAACTGATTTTGTGCCAGAACATTAACACATGTGACAGAAAACAAGTTTTGCCATGCTGTTCTGGGACAAAATAAGGCCTGAGTCTACCCAGCAGAGCCACTTGATGGTAGCCAGTTGTATCAGACAACACTAAACACCATTCCCAGAGGGCAAATCCTGAACACAGCAATAGAAAAGGGACTGAAAATAGGAAGTACTTACCTCTGGCTCACCCTGCCAATCAATATTGAGCTCCCCATCAAATCCTTTGAGGGTCAGCCCAAAGCCTCTCCTTCCCTTCTGATTGGAGGCCTCAACAATATCCTTCCTGCCTTGGCCATATTTTCCCAGACCTTCTCCTTCCCGGAAGCCCATCTTGGCCTATAAAGAAAGCAAAGGGAGCACACTGAGGCAAGCGGACTTGAGTTTATGTGCTACTACTGGGACCGAAGACTAGCAGGGAAAATGATACATGACTTGAAGACACTGAGCATTTTTATCTCAGTTGTGGCTTTCAGGACTTAATACCGAGTTCCCTTCACTGAGGCAGAATGCAAAAAAACTAGGTCTAAAGGATGATGTTTGAAAAGACAGCAAATTACAAAAAGTTCAGTAATGCGGGAACAGCCTGCTCAGAGGGAGAAGTAGTGAGGAGCCTGGAGCCATTCATCACCGCATTCAGTAAGCGTGGAAGGTTCCTAAAACAAAAGATCCTGGCACAGGAAAAAATTCATGTTGTGATGATATTCTTCGTTGAGAACACGCAGTCACATACATTTCAAGCATCAGTTAAAACTTCACCTAAAACTCAGAGGAGGAATGCAAGACACGCTCCACCTGAAACACCTTCCCATCTCTTAGGTTAAAAGAAATATGTTCATTAACTGCTACTTTTTCAGGCTTTTCTCTTCATAAATTTTAGCAACAAGAGAACAACAACAAGCAGCATGAATGCAGTCAATTTCACTCCCTCCAGTACGCATCTACAAGACAGTAAGTAAATAAAAGACTTAAGGATTAAGTTTCACTTTGAATGAATAAATTATCCATATAGTCCCTCCTGTAAAAAGCAACAAAACCATTGTTTATTACCAATCAGTATGAGAAACAACACAAGAATATCAGACAGGTTTTATACAAAGGTACGTGGCTCTGAATCAGACCTTGAAATATGTACACCAAAGGTGACAGTCACTGAGCCTGTTACACACTGGTTTTCTGAGGACAGAATTTTGAACATCTAGGAATCAAGGACTATATTCCTTTTACTTACCTAACACCACCAAATCGTTCAACCAGACTTGATAACACATCAATCTTTATATTAAAATTTATGAGGCCTTACAAACAAAAGCCTCCCGAATTCAGTAGTAAAAGCTCCTGTATTGTGGTGATTGGAAGCACACACCCTAATTGGCTCAGGAGAGAACTCTCCAAGTGAAAGACAGCCTTGTGCTAGAATCAGCAAACTGCAGCCCAGTGCCAAAAATGCACGTGGACAGATTCTGAATGATCAGCAACAGGATTTATCTACAGAGAGGCACAATCAGCAACTCTCAGCCTCTGGATCCCACTGAGTTTTGAATTCAGCAAGAGCTGAACGCTCCTTTTTCATGTAGAGGTATGATCCTGCTGGTCAGCAGCGTGCCACCTCCTGGAGAGGCAGTATCTCCCTGTTCCCACCCCTAGTAGCAGTTAGCACTTCCCAGCCTCTAGTAGAAGACTGAACTTCTAACTTGGCAATGGCAGGTACAAGCAGGCCTACCACCATGGAAAGACTGCTGACCCCTGCTCCTGTGAGTACAGCACCAGCACAGAACAAAAGGAGACCCAAATTCCGTCCTCCATTGAGCCCCAAACTTCCTGTCACACTTCAAGTAATACACAACTATCCATCTCATCTTCTCTGCTGCCCTTGGAAATAACCTTTTTGTTTCTCTGTTATCAAGAATGGAAATTCTTTCAGGATTATGAGATACTCACGATACCACAGTGACGAAGTTTGCATCAGGAAATAAGTGTAACAGCATGTACCAGAAGAAAGACTCCTCTACAGCCTACTATTGCCTTTAAACTCAGGAACAAGCTGCCAAATTTGGGACTACCATGAGACAGACAACCATTTTCTTAGAACTTCCTAAAAGTACTTTCTTCCCCACACTAACACTGTGCAATCAAGGGGTTGGCGATCACCTTCAAAGTTTAGTTGTCACAGTCGCTGTCATTCACAACTTCCTGCCTTTACAAGAAATTTCCGGCCCTACATAAAGCAGAGTGGCACTACTTGAAAGAAAAAGAAATACTTTTAAGTATTTCTATTTAATACTATTTAAGTATTAAGGTAGTAATTATTACTACCTTAATAATTAAGGTAGTAATTCTACAAAGGTATGCCAGCCAGCCTCCAAGACCAAACAAATTAATGTTAATCACAGAATTTGTTAAGGCCTTTCTTACAAGGCATCTGTTAACTCGAGCATTGCAAAATAACACACCGTAGGACTCTCTTTTTCAAGCTCAGCAAGCTGCCTGACCCAGAGATCTTTCCCTTCACATTCACCTCCCTGCTCCTAGGCCTTGAACATGAATCAACTGTCTTTTTTAACAGATCCTCTTCAACCAAGCTCTCTCAGCCTCCCCTAATTGCTCAGTAGTTGGCTCAAAGAAGCAGAGAACCCTGCTACAAGGAGGATCAGAATCAAAATCTCTTAAAAAAGATGGGTCTTTTCACTTTGCTCTCATCAGGTCTTAATAGTTTGGTCCAAAACTATTTTGACCTACCATGAGCTTTTGGGAGACACTGTTGTACATTGAGTAGCGAGATGAAGTACCCTCCACAAGAGAGTCTTGTTTGAACTCATTGCTGAAGACTGGTCTTTTTTCATCGCTCTCACTGTCAGACCCACTGCTACTACTGGAAGACTCTGAAAACAAAAACAGAAGTGAGAAGAGTGAGTATGAAAATAAAATGAAAGAAAGACATCTCAGTAATCACATTAAGAACTATACAGTGTGACTCATTAAATTCTCTCAACACACATAGAGAGGAAACTTCAGTATCTCAACTGTGCTAACAGGAAGCACGCAGGTGTAATAAAGTACCCCATGGAACCAACACCTGGTTATCTGCCCCTTTGTCTCAGGGACGCACACAACCTCTCTGAGCCGATGGATTCCAGGCCCTGCAAAGGGATGGGCAAACCCCATTACAGCAGCAGAGCAGGCCACAGCATGACCACGATAGTACACTGTCATGTGCCTGACCTTTGCAATGATCCTGAGGAGCTGAGGAAGTCCACAGAGATTCTCTCCTGAGAATAACGACAGTCACTGACACCTTGATAAAACATACTGGATTTTCCTCAGTTTCCTACCTAACTACAGGTGTAAATGCATCCCTAACTTAACCAAAAATCCATATTAAGTACACAGGCATCTACCAAATGGCCAACACTGCAGAAAGAAGAGACAGTCAAATCCCTTAGTTCCCATATTAAACGTCAGTTTGACTCCAGTACCCACCTCAGTAGCGAGGACCCACAAATTCACTACAGCAAATGAGACAGTTTTTCACCTCTAGAGTTTACCGATGCATACAAACCGAAGTGAAAGATAACATCAGAAGACACCAATCTAGTTTTAATCTCCCTGACAGAGACGAAGGTTTGAGGAAGAAGTTAATCAAGTTAATGGTCCAGTCAAGGTAATATGTACCACCGTACACAGCAGGCACTCAAAATAAAATTTTGTCACCTGAGAGTCACCTGAAACTGATGCAGCAGAGCCTTCATGGGCACCAAACAATGAAGCTCTGTCTATGCCCAGTTCCACCCTAGGATCTACTTGGGAAGAACCTAGGCCGGTATGAGCGATATAGTCCTCGCTGCTGCTCTACAGTTGTGAGATGCCCAAACCTGTTTGCTCTGGGCTGGATGTAACTGGGATGTAGCCCAGAAGGCCAGCTGTATCCTGGGCTGCATCAAAAGAAGCGTGGCCGGCAGGTCGAGGGAGGTGATTCTGCCCCTCTACTCTGCTCTGGTGAGACCCCACCTGGAGTCCTGCGTCCAGCTCTGGAGCCCTCAGCATCAGAAAGACATGGACCTGTTGGAGTGGGTCCAGAGGAGGGCCACGAAAACGATCAGGGGGATGGAACACCTCTCCTGTGAAGAAAGGCTGAGAGAGTTGGGGTTGTTCAGCCTAGAGAAGAGAAGGCGTCAGGGAGACCTTATTGCAGCCTTTCAATACTTAAAGGGGGCTTATAAAAAAGATGGCGGCAAACTTTTTAGGAGGGCCTGTTGTGACAGGACAAGGGGGAATGGCTTTAAACTAAAAGAGGGTAGATTTAGGCTAGATATAAGGAAGAAATTTTTTACGCTGAGGGTGGTGAAGCAGTGGAACAGGTTGCCCAGAGGGGTGGTGGATGCCCCATCCCTGGGAACATTCCAGGTCAGGCTGGACGGGGCTCTGAGCAACCTGATCTGGTTGAAGATGTCCCTGCCCACGGCAGGGGGGCTGGACTAGATGACCTTTAGAGGTCCCTTCCAACCCAAACTATTCTATGATTCTATGATCTGGGCAGGAATTGCGGTAGTCATATCATTTGTCTTACGGCCTGCTCTGCACCAGGTGGGTAGTGAGGGAGGCCCTACAATCCACCAAGTCCTTCCGCTTCTCCTGTGGTAACATCACCACAAGGATAATGGCACAAATTTCCTTCCTGAAATTTGCCTAGCACCACATCAGTCATACTAAAGTTAATGCTGTGGGGCAGGCCATACAGACTACTGGAGCAGCAATCCACAGCAAGCACAGCCACGCCCTTCATTGGACCTCTGCCTCTTGAGCCTCCCTTGTTTGCTGAGGGCTAGAAATCATTCTGTGCTACTTCGTACAACTAGGAGAAGTTGAACTACATAAGTTGCCCTGAGATAATGCAGAAAATTGTTGTTAGCAGAGCTAATATTTTTGTCACTTAAAAAGGAATTATTTTGCTCCATAGAAGTGTTAAAAAAAAAGACATTACCTAGAAAGAAGGACTGAACTTCTTTTACATTTTTCTGATTTAAGAAGAAGCACAGATTATTTCTCTCCCAACTCACAGATCTTTGTATTTTCCTGTTACGGAAAACTGAGCACCAGTGAAGTAAGAGGAAACAACTGGATAATTAGTAAAGAAAGGCCATTACAAGAAAGTGAAGTGAAAATAGAAGACACCATAGTGAAATATACTACCGTAGTTAAAACCCTTTCAATGTGTGCTCAATCCTTGTTGCTGAACTATCAGCTTTTAAGATTCAGGACTTGTGTCCCCACATAATTACTATGCTAGAGCTTTACAGTATCAACCTCTGAGGCTTCCAGCTCGAGACAAGGAAGGTTATGATTTAACTTGTGTTTGCAGTATTACATACCCATCTTGATTTTCAAACATCTGTCACACAAGCTACATTTCTCTTTCCTTCACAAAGTTCTTCGATATGAACAGGATCACAAAGGATTTTGCTTTAGGGTCAGTTACTGCTTTCTGGTTCTCCAATACACAGCCTCAATTAACTTTGCTGCCTGCTTTTGAGCTGTGTCTTATTTTCCAGAGGCTCACGATGTGCCTCAAACACAATACCCCCTACATAAATCTCAAGAAAGTCCCTTCACAACTCTTCTTGCTTTTAACATTTGCTAGGCTGTGCTCAGCTGAGATCAGATCCCAAGTCACGTCTCTCCCTCAACCTTCTTTCTTTCATCAGAAACCACAATGAGTGTAACAGACTACTAAACAATTAACCCTATCGAAAATGTTGTCCTTGAACTGTATCAACCTGTTTCTTAAACATTAAGACTCACAGCCTACTTTGACCCATATGTGAACACAACAATCAAAAGGGGGGAAAAAAATTAAAAAAAATATTGGTTTGAATTTTTTAGCTCAGCCCTGAGTGCACGTTAAAAAAAATATTGAATTTTTTAGCTCAGCCCTGAGTGCACGCAGCATTCCCTGCACCAGCTCTCACACCCTGCACCTCTAATCAACTCACTCAACTCCAGCCTTGCCAGACAGGAGGCTGTCACTACGACTACTCCCAAACTGACCCACTCATCTGCCATACACAGCCCCTTCCATTTTCACAAGATGAAGGCTTCTTTACATGTTCAGGCCCTTTCTCACTAACACTGTATGACCACAGGAAATCCCAAGACTCAGAAGTAGCAGGCATGACCGTGAGGCAACCTGAAGTACCATCCTAGGAGAGTTTAACGCACTGCGCAACAGCGATACCAATTGTGTAGGGCACTCGCCTCATCTTTGGTATACCCCAAGCTCCAGGTGAGAAAGCACACTCAGACTTGAGAAAAAGGAGGTAATTAATTTAGTTAACTCTGAAACAGTTTTCCTTTCTGAAACCAAACACCTGTGAGCTCTCACAACTCCCCCCTCCCCCCAAAAATCACGCAGAGCCAGCAAAAGAGATAGTGCTACAATGTAGGAGCCCCAATCAACCCGCCCTTTGCATTCATCTCAATTTCTCGCATCTGCAAAAATTTGGTAAGATTACTGATTTTTTTATTTTTTTAAACAATGAGGGATTATGATGTTTCTTTACGGCACAACACCCACAACTCCTCACTACTGAAAGTTTCCAAAACAGAAATAACTGCCGAGACTGAAATGATTAATGCTGCTCATATTATTACAAGAATCTTTACAGCTTTGGACCATGCACTTGTCATCTACCTCAAGTTCTATTTTCTATGTCTGAATTCATACAATTCCCAGACCAAACTGTTTACATGAGATTTTTAAAAAAGCTTAAAAAAAAAAAAAATCACACCAATCCAAGTTTGTGAACAGAAAGAATGTAGTTTTTCTCCTAAAGAGAGAGTATGCCCTCAAAGTTCAGGCTATCAATTAGGATTCAGGAGATGTGGGTTCAGTTCCTAGTTATTATTTAGATGCCCTGCAGCAGCATATACCTTATCTCCAGCCTTACCTTGAGTAGTATGATTACTAAATTGAGTTTCATCATCTGAAGTAGAACTGAGCGTTAATCCCAAGTCTTCTATCCTCTTCTTCTGCTTCTTTTGGGGGCTGCTAAATTCAGGTTCTGTCCTTCTCTTCATTTTTGCTGAAAGAAGATGATCACGCTTGGTAAACATTAAGCAAATTAACTTTCTCCTGCATGCTGAAGGGTAAGGCACAGCAGCATGGCATAGATCATTTTACAGACTATTCAGTATTATGCTTCTCAACTTAAGTTTGCTCTAGGTAAAAGCATTGGCTTCTTTTGAACCTACCTTTTTTAATAGCTAGTCTAACTAACAAACATGAAATCTATGCAGAAGCTTCCCTACTAGTGATTACTTGAATTTCAAATCATTTCTACAACCTGCTTACCATTAAATGCTAGTAGATTAAGACAACCCAGACATCAGCACTTAGATAACTTAAATATGTGATGGTTGGTTACTACTACTGAATCAAAGATTCGTTTTATCCAAACACACCAAAAAATGAGGAAATAAGATCAATCTAAGGACGAACATGCAAGGTGGAACCTATTTCTCACAAGAGAGTCAGAGCACCTCCGACCTCACCTCTGCAAATATTAATTAATAAAAGAGCTTTCCTACGTGACTTCTATCACAGAACTTCATTAAATATGTGTACTCAAGTTGGGGGGTGTTTGTGTTTTTCACCAGGAATCACTGGCAAGATATCAAGCTTCTGGATGTGGCTGATAAACTTTGCATAAACCCAGAGAAAGGACTAACACTTAAGACGGAGTTAATAGAAGCTAGCTGGGAAGGCCTGCAGAGGACAAGAACCAAGGAACAGGAAAGCAGGTGAAAATTAAGAGGCACAGACGTCTAGAGCACTAGCTGATCCTCCCTGCTATTGATAAACAGCAATAAAAACCTATTGGTGTTTATTATTCTACGTGGGAATGCTGGGCTAGAAAAGATGCCCCAGCTCACCGACTCGAACCCTCTGTTATCAAACTTATTTCCACAATCACACACAAGGCAGCTTAAGACCCATTCCTTTATTTATCCCCACGACTCTGACTGCAAAATCATCCCACAACTTCACTGCGCTATGGCTAAGACATCTTTTCACTCCCACCAGAAGTTCATTTACAGCCAACTCATATTTATCTGCTCTTGTGTCGACTTTGGGGTTTTTTTCCTTGCTTGCTTATCTCTAACAAACCGAGAGCAATTTTCTGTTTCTTCTGAGATATTCTCTTATTAGGTTAACACGCTCTTAGCTCACCACTGCTAGCTTCCCCTCAAGATCTCCACCCTCCTAACCCTACTAAGGGTCCCTTAGCGCATCTGTTTCCCCGATAGATCTCAAACTACGCAAAACCGGCCGCAAGTTAAGCGACACCCCGTCCCCCAGGAGAAGGGCAGCCGCCAGGGAA